ATGCCCAATGGAAGCAAGAGTAGGAGACATGGGAGGAATAGAGAGATGCTGCTCATTGCTGTAGGCAGAAAATTTGTGTAGCCAAAGCTCAACTAGATTTGAAGTTGAACAGTACTGTGGCGGACAATAAAAAGAGTTCTTTTAAATGGCAAAAGAAAGTGCAGAAATTACATTGGGCTATTATAGGATGAGTATGGTCACCTCACAAACAGGGACATAGACAAGGCAGATGTTTTATGCTTTCTTTGGCTCTGTCTTCAACACAGATGACAGGCTAAAGTAGCCTGAGCTGCAGGACCATGCTGTGAGAATTGTAAACTCCCAGTTGACCCTAAACTTGTATGGAATCTGCTGCTCCAGCTGGATCTCTATAAGTCTATGGGGCCTCATGGGACTCATGAGAGAATACTCCAAGACCTGGCTGAAGTCATCCTTAACGCCTCTCTCAATGATTTTTGAACAGTCTTGGGAATCTGGAGAGGTCCCAGTTGACTGGAAGCTGGCAAACATTGTGCCAGTTTTCAATATGGGCAAGAAGGATGACCTGGAAAACTACAGACCTGTCAGTCTCACTTCAGTGACTGGAGAAGATTATCCCAGGAGATATTGAAAAACACCTGAAGGACAGTGCAGTCATTGGTCACAGCCAGCACAGGTTCATGAAGGAAAAGTCCTCCTTATCAAACTTAATTTCCTTTTACGACAAGGTAACCCATCTAATTGATCAAGGAAAGCCAGCTAACGTAATGTTTTTGGATTTCAGTAAAGCATTCAATACTTTCTGTCACAGGATCCTTCTGGACAAAATGGATGGATAAACACATCGTGTGATGGGTAAGCAACTGGCTCATGGGTAGGGCACAAAGGGTAATAGGGAAGTGGGACATCAGGCTGACACCAATGACCAGTGGGGTTCTGCTAGGCCCTGTGCTCTTCAACATCTTCATAAATGACTTGGATGCAGGACTCGAAGTGATACTAAGCAAGTTTGCTGATGATACTAATTTGGGAGGAGCTGTTGACTCCCTCAAAAGCAGGGAGGCCCTGCAGAGAGACCTTGACAAATTAGAGGACTGGGCAATCATTAACGATATGAAATTCAACAAGGACAGGAGCTGGATTCTGCAACAGGGATAGGGCAACCCTGGTTGTATGTACAGACTGACAGACTGGGGAATGAGAGGTTAGAGAGCAGAATTGTGGAAAGGGACCCGGGGGTCCTGGTTGATGGTAAGTTGAATATGAGTCATCAGTGCTGTGGCAGCCAGAAGAGTCTTGTGTATTGGGCTGCATCAGGCCTATTGACAGCTGGTAGAAGGAGGTGAGCAAGATTCATCAGTTGTGGCCAGCAGAATATCCCAGCAGCTCAACAGTGCTGGGATTTTCCTGCTCTTCAGGATCCAGTGAGGGTCAGGCCATGCACAAATACCAGGGTGAGAGCTACAGATTTCAGCACCCTGCACAGGCAGGTCTATGGGCAAGAATTAAACCAAAGCTCCAAGTGCTGCCACGACTTCAGTGCATTAGGAAACGCCTCTTCTACAGAGTGAAATCTGTGGCTCCAGCTGAGCCCAGGCCAGGCCCAGTATGCCTGAGACAGTGGTAAGCTTTGAGGTTTGAGTGGTGTAAACCGGCATCCAGGAGGGCCAACTGTATCCTGGGGGACATCAGGCAAAGCATCACCAGTCAGTTGAGAGAGGTGATTGTCCCGCTCTGCTCTGCACTGGTGTGGCCTCACCTTGAATATTGTGTGCAGTTTTGGTTACTGCAATCGAAGAAAGATATTAAGCTGTTAGAGTGTCCAAAGGAGGGTAAGGAAGATGGTGAAGGGCCTTGAGGGGAAGTCGAATGAGGAGCAGCTGAGGTCACTTGGTCTGGAAGTGAGATGGAGGGGAAATCTCATTGTAGCCTTCATCTCATTGCAACTTTCTTGTGAGGGGAAGCAGAGAGGTAGACACTGATCCCAGGAATAGCAGGAAGCTGTGTCAGATGTTTAGAATGGATATCAGGAAAAGGTTTTTCACCCAGAGGGCTCCCCAGGGAAGTGGTGACAGCATCAAGCCTGACAAAGTTCAAGAAGTGTTTGGACAATACTCTCGGGAACCTGGTGTGACTCCTGGGGATGATCCCGTGCAAGGCTAAGAGCTGGACTTGATGATTCTTGTGGGTCCCTTCCAAATCAGGATATTTTGTGCTTCTGTGATTCTGTTGAACTCTTAATACTGTGTGAGCTCTAAAAACCTCCAAAGCTCCCAAACGTCCCCCAAGAAGAATTCAAAGCAGTCCGATCTATAAACCCTGCCCCATTGCGGGGCGATCCCAGGCGGCAGGAAGCAAGCGGCAGGAAGCAAGGGGCAGGAAGCGAAGCGGCGGCAGGAAGCGGCAGGGGTCCGTGCCCACGCTGCCTCAGCCGGGCGGGCCGCGGGCTCGGCTGCCGCGCTGCGTGGGCCCCGGGGGCGCCGCTTCCCGCTGCGGCCGCGCCTGCCCGCGGCGGGAGTGGGAGAGCGGCGGTGCCCTGACGCGCTTGTGTCCCGGCCGTAAGGCGGGAGCGTCGCCGTGGGAGGCGAGGGAGGTCTGAAGCGAGGAGCGGTCTGCGCGGGGCCCGGCGGGATGGCAGGGAAGCCCGGCGGGATGGCAGGGGTTCCCGGCGAGCTCAGCCTCATGGATAGGGGCCTTAAGAGGTGAGTGAGGAACGGGCCGGAGGGTGAGGGGCGGCCCGGGAGCGGAGCTGCCCGGCTGACGGAGGCCCCTCTCCTCCGCAGCCTGCTGGATGTGTCCCTGAGCTCGGACCTGCACACGCTCAACGCCCACTGCAACCGCATCGCCAGGATCGAAGGGCTCGGCCACCTCTGCAACCTGCAGCATTTGGATCTGTCCTCGAACCAGATCCGCCGGATCGAGGGGCTCAGCTCCCTGGCGAACCTGCGCACCCTGAGCTTATCCTGTAACCTGATAACCAAAGTGGAGGGTCGGCAATGTTTACTTCTGTCCATTTAGAAACTCACGAAAGTTTTCTGAGATTTGTCTTGAAGGTTGCTTCTGGAATGTTTGCATATAATGAAGGTTATGCAAAGTTAGTTTGGGCTACTAACGATATTATAATGTGAATTTTAAAATGTCTGTATAAAGTGTGGTAACTTTATCGTAACAAAAATGCCTTAATTAGAAGGAAAACCTGATTTTTATTATTATAGTTTAATATAGTCATAATCATAGTAATAATAATTCGTAGTTATGGTCTTTTAAGGCTCACTTTGCAAGCTTGGCGTTTGAAAACGGAGCATTCTTCTGCAAATCTTATGGTTTCTACATTTTTCTCATTTTGCTTAGGACTGGAAAAACTCTTTAATTTAACTGTGCTGAACTTGTCATATAATCGCATACATGATCTCTCTGGTAAGTGCCTTTGCCAAGTGCAGTGCAGTACAAACCATTTATCTCACTTTAATTTTGAAAAACTTGACCAAGTGTATTTTGAGAAGTTTCTAGTACTTAAAGTGCTAATTCACCAAATAATTATATTAAGAATGGCAATTGCTGCTCCTCTCAGCTTTCAAGTTTCTAACACCACAGATTGTTCTAAACTAGAAGTTATTCTCCTGTGTTGGGCAAGGCCAAGTTTGTTCAGAAAGTAGCACAGTAAACATTTCAGACTTATTTCCAAAAATGCAACTTATGGAAGTTCTCATCTGTGTTTGTTAAAATGGTCAGTTGTTGCTTGTGAGATTTTATGCCACAGAATCAAAGAGAATTTGTAATACAAACTTAAAAATAACATCGGTAACAGTTTTGTTGATGAACTGAGTTATAAAATGAAGCTTCAAGGAAAATGTTTATTTTTACACACTTTTTAACAGCCAGAAACTAATGTGTTTCTTTACAGTTAGCTCTCATAACTAGCTTAAGTGTTGTACTATGTGGTAGAGTACCACAGCTAATTAACATATATAGGCAAGGATATGGAACAAGTGTTCTTCTCTCATTTCCAGTTATGATATATTATTTACTGAATATTTTTCAACAAGCTGCCATTTGTTCTAAACCCTGTAGTCTAGGACTGCAGCACAAAACATTTTTTCTGGTTGTTTTTTTTTCTCAAATTTCCAGGATTTCGATCCCTTCATGGAACCGGATATAAGATTAGCCACATTGAGCTTCACAGCAACTGTGTAAGCAACATTATTCACTTACTTCAGTGCATGAAGGGGCTGCACTGTTTGACGAACCTCACACTGGAAAAAAACGGAAAAGCCAATCCAGTTTGTCACACAGCAGGTATGGATCTCAGGTGGATACTCTGTGCTCATTAGGCCAGTCATTTCCTTTAAGCTGTGAGCCATGTTCTGAAGCTTGCAAATTCATTCATAAGCTGGCCAGCCTGTGAAATTTAAATTCTGTCAAAAGTAATTCATTTTCCATGAAAAAAAAATTTCCCCCGCCCCCGGGTGTATTCTTAACACTGTAACATGTTGTATGGTTACATAAGGCTCAGCATTTTCACTTGTGAATCCAGAGGAGTGCCACGAAGATTAGAGGGATGGAGCACCTCTCCTGTGAGGAAAGGCTGAGAGAACTGGGATTGTTCAGCCTGAAAAAGAGAAGGATTTGAGGTGACCTAATTGTGGCCTTTGAGTACCTGAAGGTAGACAAGAAGAAAGATGGAGAGAGACTCTTTTCCATGTACAGACAGGACAAGGGGGAATGGCTTCAAAGTGAAAGAGAGTAGGTTTAGATTAGATATTAAGAAATTATTTACTGTGAAAGTGATGAGACATTGGAACACGTTGCTCAGAGAAGTTGTGGATGCCTCAATCCCTGGAAGTGTTCAAGGCCAGGTTGGATGGGCTTGGAGCAACCTGGTTTAGTAGAAGGTGTCCCTGCCCATGGCAGGGGGTTGGATGACTCTTTAAGGTCCCTTCCAACCAAAACCATTCTATGATTCTATGATATTATTTTAGGTTAAGGTTAGTAGTGGCAGACTCTAGAATACTCTGCAGTAATTAGCATTTGTATCAAAATAACAGGCAGGGGTTTCACATAGTAGGCAGCGTGGAGACGAGTTGGAGATTGCATGTGGATGTATCACTTTCAGTTGGGTTGCTTAGAGCTTTTGCTTTGGGGGTAGGTTTTTCCTGCCATTTAAATGTTACACTCTGTTTTCAAACAAGTTAAATTGTAGCATCCTGTTTTGGTGTGGGGGTTTTTTTGTTTTCTTTATTTGTGTATATTAGAGGGGAAAATCTATAGAGGGGCAAATATGTAGAAGCAGAGCATGGATACTTCTGGGAGAGCTCAAAGATAATTTCATTACAAAGAGTAGAACAGTACGAATAATACAATAATACAAAATATCAGCTATATAATGAGCATATAACTGATACAGGTGTAATATATGTACAGTTAGAAAGAAACCTCAAAGGTAATTGAGGAAAGCCAAATTAGGTTTTAAGTAATATTTTCAAAAGCAAATGTTTTATAAATGCATTCAGGCACTATGGAAACAGTAACAGTTAAAGTTATCTGGATAACTCAGAAAATTCCAGTAGTTTTCTTCAGCAAGTATTTACGTGACACTAACTTTAAAAACTACACTCTTTAGAAGCCCAAATTCCATCAATTTAAAGAAAGTTAACTTCAATGCTTTAGAGTTTCATAATGCCTTTTTTCATTCACTGACAAAGAAGTTAGCTAAGCTGTTTCAGAACTGGCCTTTCCATTACGTTTGTCTATCCTTCCATTTGGTACAACTGTTTTTGTGCAGTAGCCTGATATTAAAAGGTTGTCTGTGCAACTGCAGTGTGCTGATGATGGTTGGGAAATCCCAGTGTAGGCCAGGACCAGGCAGACAGCTTCCAAGTTCATTTAGTTTTGTAATGTTATCTGTTGAATGCCATGGATGGGGAAAGATGAGACAATTGTAGATAACTCGCTACTTTTTTTCTTGTATTAAAAATGCAGTGAATCATTTAAGATGACAGGGTAGCTGAAATACACTAGACATCTTGGGAGATTGATTTCAATTTACATGTGGTCTTCTCCTCAAGGTTATAGAGAAACTGTTCTTCAGTCGTTGCCCCAGCTAACAGCTCTAGATGGAAGAGGTATTTCTGGTGAACCAGGGGACCTGGAAGAAAAAAACTGTTCAGATTTGCAGTTCTTAGAAGACGTTTTGGGCTCTTTGGTTTCATCTGGGTGCCCCTCATCCAGAGATCAGGTACCATAGTTTGTGTGTACTGATTTTAATAATGATATGCTTTATTTTTATATTGCATGCCACTCATTAATGCTGCAAGGGTTGTCTTTCCTTCTGATAGAACAGTGTTGCCTTACCGCTGGCGACACCTCATATCGACCAGGCATTGGCTCATTTTCGTCAGCGTACAAGAATACCAGTACAAGGTGCCACCAGCTCCTCCACAGAGCTTGTCTCATCTTCAGAACCAGAGAAGACTGAACTTGATAAAATACACAGTGAGATGAGGATTAAAAGAATAGAAGATCTGATTTCACAGATACTGCAAAAGGTGATTTATTTTTTTTCTGTGATCACACAGGAAGTTTTGTTTGTAAAATCAGGTGTACATTTCTGATAATGCAAAAGTTTTCTGGAACAGACTGGAGCATTTCTACTGGTGTTTATGAGCTTACGGTGCTAATGTGTTCTTTCATTTTGAGAAGCTGGGAATAAAATAAAAACAAATCTTTAAAACTGAAGATTGCACTTCGAATCCTGACAGCTTTCATACTGAATAAAAACCATAGTGCATGGGACTAGTAGAGCTATGTGATCATGTTATGTTAGAAAATTCTTGTCTGTTTTTTTTACCCTGAAGCCATCAATATAGTAACTGAACCAAAGTAAAACATGAAATGCACCAAAACACCTGGATTATACAGTTGGTGAAAATTAATTTTACCAATAAGTGAACTTGATCTGATATGTTTGTCAGGTAACATTGTTTTGTTAATATGTTTTGTTAGCATAGGTAACATACAAGTTTGTCAGGTTTAACAGTTGGTGGTGTTGGCAAGGTTTTTTTGGTTTTAAGTGTTGTATTTGTTTTACATTTTGCACTAACCTTTTATGCCTAAGGATTTTACCAAACTTCAGGAATTTTAAAAAGATACACCTATATATTCTCAAGCATGTTGGGTTTATTTTATCTTTAAAACAATGAAATATTTTAGCAAGGAGGGAAGGGATTGTAAAAGTAAAAAATTGGAAGCAATTATTTACTTTCCTATCAAAATTATTTTGTGTGAAGTTTTTTAAGAATAGCACCTGAATAAGTGTTAGAAATTAGCCAATTAGAAATGGTAAAATTTATAGATAAAATTTTGATCTCTTCCTAGGTATCTGATAGCTCAAGACAGGAAGCTCCTCCAAGTTGTCTCAAAGCTAAGAGAGATACAGATCCAACTTCTGAGAGTGAAAATGAGAGTGGGAAAGAGAACAACAGAAAGGTCATGAAAAGAAGCAAGATCCCTCCTCACAGGAAAACTACCTTATCTCCTAAGTGTCATGCGAGTCATCTTAAGAACAAAATAACCAACAGGTATCCTGATGTTTGCCATATAAAGCCAAAATGAATTAAGCTGAATATTGTCACAATGAATGTAGTACTTGAAACATTTTTCTGAAAGTGGTAGGTTGGGTCAATTAGCTCTGTTAATGATACCTTGAAAATGAGTAGCTTCTGAGGCTTCTTTCTGCCATTTCTCTATATGAGAAGTTTCTGCCTTTAAGTGAGAACGAAATTGAACTGAAGATTCCAAAACAAACACTTTCAGAATTCTGACAGTTTATACTTCCATCTTTGTTTTAAATTGTGGTGACAGAAAAATTCTCCACAGACAGAACTGAGTCATTAAAAAATAAAAGTAAAAGATTCATGCTGTCCGAACAACGATCAAGAATTTAAATGTCCATATTTTGTGATGAAGCTGAGAATGCCATAGTGATTTGTTTGATTTATCAGGAGTGATGAGTAGAAGATGATACAAATTGGAATATATTAGCGTAGTTAGCCAGTGCAGCTCTACAGCTTCTCTGCTTCTCCAGAATTGTTTGATATCTATGTGATCATAAGATGTCTTTCAGATACATATAACTAGTTTATGCTATCTTTTCACAGTTGACTATTTGAATTTAGCTGTTTCTGCTATGGTCTCCTTGCAAATTATTTTCTGTGTGGTTTTGAACTGTATTATTCAAATGTTGCAGAGAACTGTAAAATTTCATCCTGTAAAAGTGTCTGAATCCCGTTACTGTTTAAACTCTTAAATATACCTTGATGTCCTGCAAATATAGGGAAGAGAAGAAGAGTTCCTCAAAGTGTTCATATTCCAGTCAGAGAGACTCTCATCTTAATTCATCATCAGATAATCAAGACTTGAAAGTAGTGGGAAGAAAAGCTGAAATACTGACTGGTAGACAGAGCAATATAGAAAAAGTAGAAGAAAGTCATTCAAATCCCACAGAGGAATCAACATACCAAGTAGGTTTCGCATCATTTCAAATTAAGTATGAGTATGTCTTCACCTGAAGCCAAACATATGTCTCCTAGTCAGACTAAAAGTGGAGGTGACAAAAACAATTGCATGTAGATAGTATCAAAAGTAGTGTTGTTCTTGTAGTGTCAAGTGGGAGAGGCTTTATTTTGTTTCACTTTTATGGGAGTTTTTGACCTGGTCACTTGCCCTTTGCTCTGTCACCCATGAATTCCAGAAAGACAAAAAATCTTATTCTACACTTAAAAATATTATTTGTCATTTTTGGCTATGCTTGAACGTCTACTAGTAATTTGATGCCTACCACATTCTTCCTAAGGTGCTGATTCAAGAACTGGATCAGGAGAAAGAAAGGAGGTGGAAAGCAGAGCAAGCAGAGAAGAAATTATTAGAGCATGTCAAAGAGCTACAGAAGTATTCAAAAGAAGAAAAGAGTATTCAGAGTATGGCTGTATACACTACAGACAGGTAGGGAAACAGTGCTGTAATATAAGAGTTTTGTTTTGGGTTTTTAATTAATGAAAATTCAATTTGTAGCCTTAAGAAATGAGAACAGCTTTAAACAATATACTTGGAAAATAACACATCAAGAAGTAGTGCTAGAATTTCTCTCAGTCTTACCTAATGAAATTCCTTTCTGCAGCTTTCTTCCTGTTCTCATCTTAGAACAATATCAGTGTGTTGCTTACCTCCATTTCCAGCCATTACTTTCCAACTGTATCATAACGATACTTTCAGTTCAAGCTCTAGTAGCTCCCTCATATCATGCTTTCACCTTCTGTTTCCCAGTCTCTCTTTCCACCTATACCTACAGCATTCCTTGTGTTTTTCCTGCTCAGTGCACTGGAACAAAGGTGTTTCTGGCTGGCCAGAGTTGGCCTCTAGGCAATATGTTGTGCAGGGCAGGCCTAGCACATCTTTGGATAGTTGTCATCATTCTTGTATAAGTTCTGAGCAGTAGCTTTTTTTCAAAAGATCTCTCTTCTAACAAAGCATTGTTTGTCATCAGATATTTTTGGAGTTGTCAAAGACGCATTTTCTTTTTTGTAAGGAAGAAACAAGTCAGGTGCTTCCATGACTGACTGTGATTATTTCCCTTTTTCCCTTTTTGTTTTAAGTTCACTTCCCACCTTTACTTGTATTAGAAGCTTATGTTCCTTTTCTGTTGAGATAGATCTTATATAAAAATTGTTAAAATATTTAAGGATATTTCAGTGCTTAGTGAAGATAATTATTAAATTACAAATTGATGCTATATGTTCACCTTGTGTGTAAGCAAAATGATACTGGAATGTCATTTCCTAAGAATCTATCTGTGAGGTTCTCTCCAGCTCAGGCTTTTTAAAATGAAGCTCCACATAATAATGCTACACATGACTTCAGTAATAGTTTACATCTTTTTAAAGTTTTACATGACAGTGCTGTAAGTAGTAAAACTTATTAAAGAACAAGATATGGTGTTACAACAGTTACTAATGTTTTTTTCTCAATGTACTTGGCATCAAGCTAAATACTAAAATGTTTGTAATGCAACTTTATGGCATTTATTTTCAGGCTAAAGGAATTGATATTGAAAGAGAGAGATGACAAAGCAAGACTGCAAGCAGATGTCCAACAGCTGAAAGGTGAAACTGAAAGACTTACTAATGAGTTAAATCAGGCAAGAAATAAAGAAGCAGAACACCAGAAGGCCATGCAAGCTTTAGAAGAAACACTATCCAAGATGGAGACACAGAGATTACAGCAACGAGCAATAGAGGTAAATACTTTTCATGAGTAAATAATACACTGGCAATGGGGTGGCTGCTGTAGTCCTGGATACAAAGAAACACTAGATTTTACAAGCTTTAAGTCTGAGTTTTCCACAATAATAGTAGTTAATAACAGGTATCAGTTTTAATTGTCAATTAATGTACTTTATAAATGGAAGTATGTCATGTGATGTGGTCTTAAGATAAAGGAGAACAAGTCCTATGTACTTAAGGAGTTGATATTTTCTAGTAATATACAGTAACAAAACCAAGTTTTTTAAAAAATCAGTAAAGATCTTACTAGTCCGATGGAAACTTGGTGATTTTGTTTGTTTTGCTGATCTAAAGAATTAGATGCTTTTAATTGCAACCAGAACAAAACAGTAATTGCTGAGAACTTGCTTTAAAGATTCTGGTTATTTTGAGTGGGGTATTTATTGTTTTGCTGTTTGGGATTTTTGGTGAATATTTTTACAGAGGGAGAAGATAAAGATGCTTTTGTTGTTGGAGGCACTTTTTTCAGTATACAAATGCATAAGATCAGGTTGCTGGACCAGATACTGCCACTATTTCTGTCTAAAAAATCAATGGCTGAATTTTCAGTGTCCTCCAATATGTACACCTTTTGTTTGTTTATATTGCTATATTAGCCTATTCCCCTGTCCCTGAACTTACAGAAACTGAATCCTAACATACGCATCCTGAAAAGTCTCTCAACTTACAGTGCAGTGCTGTAGGAGCTGGTGTTGGTCAGATACCCTGAAAGGAATGAGACTCAGGGCACTCCTGCAAGTGCCATTCAAGTCACCCTCTAATTTAGGCTGCTGTTTGGGCATCTGAGTGGCTCTTCCATTTTCTTCCT